TGTAATGTAATGTGTGTAGGCTGTATACGCATAGGATTTTTAATAATTCATCTAAAAATATTTATTATGAAGTATGTAGATTGTAATTATTTTAAACTTAAGATTAGTAGCATTTAATAGAATGCTCCAAAGTCACGTTTTTCATCGTGTTTTTTTTAAATACCAATATTAAATTACCGTGAAATGGTAAGTTCGTCTGACTTGCTGCCCTCAACTCATGGCCACAATAGTTATGATTAGATGTTTAGTTCAACCACCTTTACTGCCCACATTTATTACGCTCATTACATAACAAAACTTAGGATCAAAACAGAAAGCCGACAAGGTTCAAAGGCTGTCATTGACGCATAACGTCAGCAACACAAAATATGTTCGGACAATGCCTATTGAGGAGAGGCCGACCAGAGAATAGCCTACGGCAAAATGTGCCTAAATTTCTTTTATAATTAACTTTTCTACCGCGTATTTAACTAAATACGTAACAAAAGTTGAGATTGTTGTGTTAATTATCTTAGAGTATTTTTACTTACAATTGTTATAAATCATATTGCTTTTAACGTCTATGAATAATTTATGCTATCAAAAAATACAACCCACAACTATAAACATACAAAATTTACAATTCTTAACAAATTCATAAAAATATTTCTAAAAAGATTATTGTGACTTTTTTTCTGTGACTTTATTTCTGTGACTTTTTTTCAGATAAAATTTTTCCACTGTGACTTTTTTTCTGTGACTTTTTTTCCTAGCAAAAACTGTGACTTTTTTTCTGTGTTTTTTTTTCCTGTGACTTTTTTTCCGTTTACTAGGCTTTTTGATGAGAATTACAGAATGATTTTTTTTATTAAAAATGTATTAATAATAGCTAGAATACTAGTAAACTAAGCTAATTTAGCATATTTTAACTTTCTGTGCAAAGTCATTATTACTGAAAAAATTCCATAGTCAGGTCAGCCTGTGGCACCCTCCACCTGAACTTGAAAGAAGGAAAAAAAAACTTGACCCGTGACCTTCATTAAAACAGAATTTACTTATGTTTCTTTTTAACTATTAGTAAACATGTGCTTAATATTACCCAATAAGTAATAAAAATTTGACAATTAATTTTAATTACTGTTGTAAAGTGAGATAAACAGCTTAATAAACACGTGTTTTCTTGAGGGGGTGTGACCCGGGTGTGGCACATCGCATGTAACTTTTTATTTCTGTGTTTTATGACTATTTGTTCACAATCAGCATGCTATGCTTTTAAAATTGATAAAGGGTAAGTATACCAAGCTACAAAACCTAAAATCTAACTAATAATTCATACTTTCAGTTTAAAAAATAATAAAAACGATCATCAATGAAGAAAGCGTAAACATTCTATTTTTAGGTGTGACATAAAAAAACAGTCATAAACCTAGCCAAATGATTGGATTCTTGCGCTGCACACATTTTCCCGCGCCTCGTGTTCACCAAAAAAGATTATAATAAAATGGCATTATTACTTGAACAGACCACATCTCATTCCGACCATAAGTTATTACCAGTTAATTGTAGTGTGTGTAAAATTGATACTTTCAAGTTTCATATACACATAGTTTGGTTTATTATACACGGGGTATTTTAGAGTTATTTGATTCGAAAGATGATAATTATATAGAGCTACTTTCACTAAGGCGCCGCTTGCGAGACAAACAAAGAATTTAGGCCAAAAGTAGATCCGACAATTCTTAATTAATAGACTTAAATAGAAACGGATAGTTCCGATTTCTAAAATTAACGATGGCTTCGTAATCATTAGTTTTATCCCTCTACCCATTAGTGAAAGCGAAACAGGTCGCCATTTTTGGTAAGCGCATGAGCCGTGAGATGGCTTCAAAACAACAAACCCGGAAGCTGTGAATCGAACGGCCTACGTTTACCATACAGTTATTAGTAGTACAGGACTTTAATTTATAGGTTGAATTATGGATTTTTTAAAATAAAATATTCTGTTATTTCAAATACACCATTAAGTTCCTTACCCCTTAAGAGAACATTTGACACCACATTTGAATATCTAGCTTACTCGGTTGACGAGAAAAGAGAGAATTTGAAATTTTTCCGATATTGGAAAATGAAAGACAAAACCGCGTTTTAGCCCCTCGACCGGCATAACATTACGTCGTGGACGTGTGTACACGAGCTATTAATTCCCGCCATGGTAATTGCGTCAGCTTAGGTTATTTACTCACCGGAAAATAACAAAAAGCAACTGAACAAAAAGCAACTGGTTGATAATAAAACTAGATCTAGTTATTTTATTATTTATTAAATTCTACTCTACATGTCATTCATACCATTTTATGAAATAATGAGCACCTGCATAAATCAAATGACCATAATAAATATTTATATTTCAAATCCTAATTTTAAATAATATATGCATAAAATAATATGATAGTGTAATAGTTAAGATAGTTTATAAATAAAAATACATTTTACACTCAATCACATTATATTGAGTCAACAGTGTGGCAGCTGAGGTTCATACATGGTATTAGTGTCTTTTTTTTTTTACATTACATTTTTTTTTCATCTTGAAAACATGACGTATGTGATTTTTTTTTTAAATAAAATCTCCAAACATCGTCACTCGCGTGATTGCTTGCTTACGTTTACTATCCTGTGGATGAAAAATCCCACCACGGTCGCGGGTCACCGTGAGTTCAGCAGGCCTATAGTACACGTCATAGAATGAACACGCGTACACGAGATGGTCGGTGTCTTCACTTCTCTCTCTCTTCCCTCCCCCCCCCCCCCTTCTTCAAGCAAATTGAAAAACAGACCTACTTCCCTACTTCTGGACATTTTTTTAAAAGTTCACATATCATTATCAGGCATGCTAGACAGCCAGCTGTATAAAAATTATTTTTTTTAAAACTAGATCTACGTCTAGCTTAAAAAAAATAAATAAATAAATGTTTAAAATGCCCGTAAACAGATTATTTAGCGCAAAAAAAAAGGCCGCTGAACGAGCATTTTTTAAAATACGCAGCAATGAAAAAGGCTAACGGCCGATCAATTAAGTCTAAAAATCGCCCGTAATTAGGCCTAGCTCTGAAAAAGGCCACTGAACGAGCATCACTGATTATATAAACGAATAGGCCACGCAGCGTTGACGAGGTTAACCACCGGTCACGAATGCAGCAACTGTCGGCCCACAGTGAAGAAAAAATCAATATACTAATAAAATTACTAATACAATAATAATGTCCATAATTTTACTTTTTCCGCACATGCTACAATTGAATTATAATTAAAATACTAGACTTAACAGTTCATTCCGTAAAAAACAAAAACTAGTTGTTTCAGTCTGGCAACTAGCGTAGCAATGACGTCATGATACTAAAAATAGCGGATAGAAATGTCAGCGTGGGTACCTCATTTTGGGATAAGATTTTGGAAACCAGAATCAATAATAATGTAAATTTACAAGGTAAATATCTCAATTATATATTAATTTAGAGGAGGTCGGGCCGTTTTCCCCGGAGGTCGGTCGTTTTTAGCAGCGGTTCAGTTTTTACGGAGAGCGCTCCACTAGAAATCCTCTCATTATTTATAACAACAAATCTCTCGATTTTTTCTGGCATTCTAAGTAGGCTTTTTGATGAGAATTACAGAATGATTTTTTTTATTAAAAATGTATTAATAATAGCTAGAATACTAGTAAACTAAGCTAATTTAGCATATTTTAACTTTCTGTGCAAAGTCATTATTACTGAAAAAAATTCCAAAGTCAGGTCAGCCTGTGGCACCCTCCACTGAACTTGAAAGAAGGAAAAAAAACTTGACCCGTGACCTTCATTAAAACAGAATTTACTTATGTTTCTTTTTAACTATTAGTAAAAATGTGCTTAATATTACCCAATAAGTTATAAAAATTTGACAATTAATTTTAATTACTGTTGTAAAGTGAGATAAACAGCTTAATAAACACGTGTTTTCTTGAGGGGGTGTGACCCGGGTGTGGCACATCGCATGTAACTTTTTATTTCTGTGTCTTATGACTATTTGTTCACAATCAGCATGCTATGCTTTTAAAATTGATAAAGGGTAAGTATACCAAGCTACAAAACCTAAAATCTAACTAATAATTCATACTTTCAGTTTAAAAAATAATAAAAACGATCATCAATGAAGAAAGCGTAAACATTCTATTTTTAGGTGTGACATAAAAAAACAGTCATAAACCTAGCCAAATGATTGGATTCTTGCGCGGCACACATTTTCCCGCGCCTCGTGTTCACCAAAAAAGATTATAATAAAATGGCATTATTACTTGAACGGACCACATCTCATTCCGACCATAAGTTATTACCAGTTAATTGTAATGTGTGTAAAATTGATACTTTCAAGTTTCATATACACATAGTTTGGTTTATTATACACGGGGTATTTTAGAGTTATTTGATTCGAAAGATGAGAATTATATAGAGCTACTTTCACTTAGGCGCCGCTTGCGAGACAAACAAAGAAATTAGGCCAAAAGTAGATCCGACAATTCTTAATTAATAGACTTAAATAGAAACGGATAGTTCCGATTTCTAAAATTAACGATGGCTTCGTAATCATTAGTTTTATCCCTCTACCCATTAGTGAAAGCGAAACTGGTCGCCATTTTTGGTAAGCGCATGAGCCGTGAGATGGCTTCAAAACAACAAACCCGGAAGCTGTGAATCGAACGGCCTATTCTAAGGCATATTATCCATTTTAGTAGCATTCTGCATTAAAATAATGATGAGAATTTGCGAGATTAACAGTTCTTTCATTTGTCGTGGATAGGACCCCTAAAATAAACGTAAAAACCGTCTAAAAACGACGCGTGACGTTTCAGGGTCAGAGGTCAATCCAGCCATCTAAGCAACGCGCCAGACTATAATTTATCAACAGTGACATCACAATTCTAAAACTTTGCATTTCTCCTAATTCCTAAACTCTATTCTAAACTAAACTTTAGTAAAGAATCTTACCGAGGCCGAAATTAGGGTTCCTTTTCTCTCGTCGTAGGCCATTTAAAAATTTATGATTTTCTTGTCTTGTACCTTTCCGGCAGTAGATCTAGATATATCTACTCTAGAATCTAGATCTAGATCTGGTAATTAATTAGATTAGATATAGGCTAGATAATACCTATTATAGATTCTATACAGTATATAATATATAGTAATATAGTATATATAGATTTAGATCTGGTTAGAATCTATATAGATCTAGGTCTAATATTTAAAATAGACTAGAATCAAGATAGAGTCTAGACTAGTTTTCGAGGCAGCCTTGACAAAAAAAATATTACAAACACGATGGCCAGATAAAAAAAAACAATGTTAGGCTTAAGTAAAGTCAGGGTAGCTCTAAACTCTAAATCAAGATCTAGATCTAGATCTATAAGCCTTTAGTATAAAAACTAGCCGTCGGTACCCGTTACACGTGAATTATAGGCCTATGTAATATATAATACTAGACTCCATATATTTTTTTTAAAAATATATAGATATCTAGATCTAGAATCTAGATCTACATGTTTGAGAAAAATATTTAATAAAATGGTTATTGGTCAAAACGCAATGTGCTTTACTACTCGTTGAACAATATTAGCGACAAAGCAAAGAAATAACTAAATAGCTAAAAATCCGACACATTTAAAATAACATAGTCATCTATAATAGATTCTATATAAAGCAAAGTTGTCGGGGACCTTCCCGGCACCGCAGGCGCTTCAAATTTGACATTAATCTGTCTTGGGGCGATATAACACGAAAGCCGGTACCCGTTGGCCGAAAAGTCGACGAAGAGGGGGTCAAAACTGACCTTGACTGACCTGCGCCTTAAATGGGCTATATTACGAAAAAAAAAATTGCCCGACGACCCCCCCCCCCCCCCTTGTGGTAGGAGAACGCCTAGGGGTTTACAAAAAACTCGCCATGTCCGGGAAAAATCGGGTAATGGGTAAAAACTGACCAGTCGTATTTCCCTATATAATCTTTGTATTTTATTGGAAAAACAGAGGGTAATTTCAAAACGAATTTTAAGGCACTTACCATCTTTACATCTGGCTAATTTTTGGCATGCTTATATGTAAATGGCTTGGCCGTTGGGCAAACCTGTCGGACCCCCCTTGAAATTTGTGAGGTGGTAGGAGAACGCCTTGGGGTGTCACAAAAAACTTGCCATGTCCGGGAAAAATCGGGAAATGGGTAAAAACTGACCAGTCGTATTTCCCTATATAAAGTTTGTATTTTATGTGAAAAACAGTGTAAATTCTACACAAATTTTAGGGTACTTAACTTCTGTACAATTGTCTATTTTTTTTTTTTGCATGCTTCTCTATAGATGACTAGGACTTATGGAAGAACTGTTGGTCAGACTCAAAACCCTCGACAAGGGCGGAAAATTGACCGTGAGTGAAATTCTCTCTATGAGATATATATAAATAAATTGACAAACGATTCCCCTAATATTTTGTGAGGTCGTAGACCGACCCTGGAGGGTAACAATAAAACTTTATTTCCCGTTCGGAAAAACCCTAAGGGTCGTTAGATTTTTCCAAAAGCTATATTTTCTTATATAAATAATTGTTTGTGAAAATGTAAACAAAGATTACGTCATTTGGCCTATGTACAGGGAAGGTAACTTTTTAAAGTTATAATTTTTAAAACAAATTTATATTATTTTAAAGAGAAAACGAAGATCACAAAGTATAGCATTCGTTTAAATAAATATTTCGTTATATGTTAAGTTATGAATTTTATTGAAATTATAAAAAGTAATATCTAAAGTTAATTTAATATAATATTTGATTTATACTATTAAGGAAGCCTTTGCAGTTCTAATAGCCTTGCGAGTAATTAGTATGTGAATATTACACTAAGTTTTCCAAGACATGAAAATACTCAGATTGTTAAACTTAAGCCATAAGCACTTCACATAACATTGAGGGTTTTTTTTTCAATCGCACATAATCCAATTAATCGGTGAACCACAATCATGCCTAAACAAATCCAAGAAATAAAGGATTTCCTTTTAACAGCAAAGAGAAAAGATGCCAAATCTGTGAAAATCAAGAAGAACAAGGACAATGTGAAGTTCAAAGTTCGCTGCAGTCGCTATCTGTATACATTGGTAATCCAGGACAGAGAAAAGGCTGAGAAACTTAGACAATCTTTGCCCCCAGGTTTAGCTGTCAAAGAATTGAAATAAATTGATAATAAACTATTAAATTTAAAAAAAAAAAGCACTTCACATAACAGCCAATAACCAATTCAAATTCTCAACAGTTTTTAGCGCAATTTCCTTACAGGAATTGCGATTATTAAATCGTCATTTCTGGATGGATATGTGTCCGCAGCTTTAAGTCGTATCTCCTCCTCAACGAAGCAATATCGAGGACTAGTTCCAAAGCAAATATGTTAAGCAAGTTCCGAGGATGATTGTGGGCCGAAAAATTCCCGGAATTCCTTCCTGGATTTCCCGGAAAAGCCAAAAAACTCGAAAAAATGCAGTTTTTTGCCCATATCTCAGCAACCAGACCACTTAGCGACTTGAAACATTTACCAATCGATTCCTGCCATAATTTAGAACAATATTGCCGAAGAAAGTTTTCATAAATATCCTTTCGTTCGGTCACAAAAAATTACTTAAGGAAATTGCGCTTAAATTGTCACTAGACTTTTTATTAACTTGTTTTTAAACCTCATACGCTACCAATATCTATTAGAGAAATTAAAACTAAATTATATACATTATTAGTCAACATAAAACACTATTTTATATTAAATCCACACACTGATTAAGAGACGTAAATGATTCCGATAAAAACCCGGCTAATCAATGGTCATTATGTTTTGTTTTTTTTTAAAAAGTAATTTGTATTAGTTAGACCGAGAAAAATGTAAGTATTTCGTAGCGTACGCCATTAGTGTTGTGTTTTTCCTTAGTGTAAACATGTGGCATGTTATTGTTACGTCATTGTTTATTGCGTTCTTGTCACAACTATTAAGACTTTTTCGATTGTATAATTAAAATTGTGTTTCTACATTCGAATATGCCTTTATTTTTATTTATCTACTTTAAATAAAATTTAGGTTATACTTTATACATTTAAAACATCCACTATATTATTTTCAACAAAAGTCTGTATCAAGTTCTCCGTATATCGCTGAAGATACTGATCTCAAATGTTGTGAAAATATTTTGCGGACAGAGAGAGAAGTGCGCAAATGGTCTTTAATATATTGTAGTGAATTTTTAGGAATCAGTCAATAGTAAATTGTGCTTAGCAGGGCAAGAAGAAAATTCGTATCTTAATAAATATATGTAATTTGAATCATTATAAAGGAAATTGTCTGTGGTTTCAGATGATAAGTTTATTATAACTATAATTAGAGTCTCAACGACAGAATTAAATAAGAAAAAATCTATAGCCTTATTCTATACCGAATAGTGTAGGATCGGCTGCGATCACCGTGAAATGTTAAAGAATGTTTAAACCAACTAGCTTACACGTTCGCGTTGTTGCGATCTAGTCTTACATACCAGGGTAGCAAAACAATTTGTAAGGGTTTCATCAACACGTTACCAATTGTGTATTAGTAGTAGTATGTCCTTGTGTTTCTAAAACTGTATCACTCCGTATTCCTAGTGCATGGCGCTCATTAAAACAGATACCGTGGTACACGGCCGCCTGGGCGTCGGCCAATGCGCTTGTGCAGTTTGACCGCTGGATCAAGTACTAACGCTGTTCCGCTCTTCCAGACACCTAACCAAGGTGCAAAGCAGGGGCGGAACTACAGTGCCGCCAGACCCCGCAATGGGGGGGGGGGGGGGCACGGCATTTAGGGGCCCTTAGCCGACCATAGTAAATTTTTTACGGTAAAAAAAAAATAATTTTCTTGCATTTTTTACTTAACGCCGAATAGTTAACAAACATAGGGGTGCTCCTAAGCTCCTTTTAATCTATTTGTACTGAACAAATTAAAAAGCAATTACTTCTCTTAATTATTAAAAAAAAATACATACTAAAGAACGACATAAAAAGGAAATATATTTAAAACAAATAATATAAATAAAAAAAAACAACATAGAAATAAACAAAACACGAGAAACCATTACACATACACAACTTCCACGTTTTATATTCTTTTGACCGGCCTAAATTCTAGAAGGTGGGCAGTATTACAGCAAACATATTGAGTAAACTAGTTCCTAATTTTTTAAAAATATTTATATTTAGACGTTTTGTATTAGATCTATGAATAAGTAAACGATCTTAAACGAATGAAAGTAGGCTACAAGTAAGAAAGTAATATTACTATTTTAAATCTGTATTAGTCCTCACAAGCCGGTGATGAAAACTGTAATACTAAAGCGAACACACACAACTGACGCTGTAATTACATGTCTGAGGCACACACACACACAAAAAAGAGAAAAAAAATACTAGTTCTTAATCTTAAAAAAAAATAAAAAATAATAAATTCAAAACAGACTAATGCACTCACACACAAGACATGATATGGATCTAATTTGTTTAAATTTAAAAAAAAAGATTTTTTTCAAAACTCGATCAGGCCAGTAATGAGTATCCAATGTTTGTATATATATATATATATATATATATATATATATATATATATATATATATATATATATATATATATATATAGGTGGGGCCCAGAATTTTTTTTTGCGGGGTGGCCCTTTTTTTCTAGTTCCGCCACTGGTGCAAAGATTGTGGCTGGGAAACTCCGAGTGTCAAACCGCACCGCCTTACTGCCGGGGCGTCGCCCTCCGAAATAAAATAAAAAAATAATTGCAGAATTCTTCCCAAAAGTCAGAGTTTCTTTCATGCACCTTTTCAAAAAATATCTGGAATAAAAACACTGCCTGGAATATTCTCAACGACTTTCCAAAGTTTTTTGGCGATTGGATGAAAACCAAAACGTTATAGTGTTAGTAGTGCCATATTGATTGAAGATTAATTAGATTAAAAAATGTAATTATGGTAAAATTAGTAGAAAAACATTGATAAATGTTGAACCTCGCTTGTTGTGAAAACACTGTCCATGGTTGTTGTTTTTAAAAATGGTT